CAGGCGGAGATAGATCTTGAATCAGAGATCATGATCGAGCCCAAGGACTCCATCGGCGGTGAGCGGTGGTGGTACACCCGCATGCGCCACGTCGTCGACGAGCGAGGCCCAGGCTACGGCGGCGTCACCAATGTCCCGGAGATCTGGTCCACGAGCTCCATGGTCAGGTTCAACCAAGAGGTCGACGGCACGTACACGAACAGGCCGCGCTTTGGCGGCTCCGGACCCGTCTGGGGCTGCACCGTCGTGGTCGTCGCGTCCCCGGCCGGCGTCTGGACCAGTCACATATGGGAGATTCCCACCTTCAGCCTGGGTGCGGAGTTTGGCAGCGGCGACACGACCGAGTGGGCCAGGATCTACCCAAGATCGCAGATCGAGTACTTTGGAGAAGGCGTCGTGGACTTCCTCTCCTGGGGCAACAATCGAGGCTCCTACCGGCAGCTCAAAGACGGCAAGGTCCCCACGCGCAACCCGGGCTTCGTCGAGTTCGCGGCAAAGAACTCGGGCGAGCCCTTTGACGTCAAGACCAAGACGTGGCTCTGGGCCGGCATCATCACCCGCGCTCACAAGGACATGAGGGGCCCTTCCTTGCAGTATCAGGACTCGGCGATGCGGACGGCGTATAGCTGGCAGGTGGAGCAGATTCAAAACATCTTGAAGCAGAAGCTGGGCATCAACGACAGAGACTTTGTCAAGATCTTCACGTACGCGCCACGCCCGAACATGGCGCAAAACAACCCCGGCATGCCGCCCGAGGCCGGCCTCGTCAACTGGCAATATCACCCCTCGCACGTTGAGGAGGGCACGAAGCACTCGGAGAGGAAGCTGCGCATTCGGTTCGAGAAGCACGTCATCTTTGAGAAGACGTGGTGCGGTTCTGGCAACAAGGTTATCATCGCAGACGGATCCACCAAGCCGCCTCCGCCTCCGCCCCCGTCGAAGCACCGTCGTCAGGAAGATGAAGGTGGTGAGGTCGAGGCCTGTCTGTTGGCGCATAACTCGTTGTCAGCTGCCGCTTCCGCGTCTTCCGTTGCCGCCTCGGCCGCCTCCTTGCTCCCGCGCCCTACCCAGACGTGTACCGCCGACGCCGAGTGCGGCTCTCTTGCATGCCCTCAGCCCCGGTTTGGTGCCTGCTTGTATGGTGCTTGTCGATGTGTCCTCTCCGAGAGCCTCAGCTACACCAAGACTCCAGCCACTCCGGTGCCTGGGATGTACACCAACACTGCGTTGCCTGTGAACTACACATCCCCGACAAACCTCATCACGTTGTCCACAGACTCCCCGACAAGCAGCATCTCTTCCAATGGTTCTACTTCAAGAACCTCCTGGACTGGCGATAACGATTGGTTATTCCCTACAGCCACTAAGAACAGTTCTTCTTCCACAGCTTCCGCGCTGTTCACCGTCACCCTCTCGGCCTGGGACCCCTCCCAGACCTCCATCATCGGCTGCAACACGACCCAGGACTGCTCTTCCCTCCCCTGTGGTAGTAACCAGACATACACTTGTATCACTCAGGGCGCGAATCCCAAGCCAACCTGCCGCTGCGTCAACCGCCCCAAGCTCTTCGAGCCCTGCACCGCGCCAGCAGACTGCGAACACCTGAAGTGCGACGCAAACCACTTCTCCGCCTGTCGCCCGCTCATTGACTTCCCCGGAGCAGACTCCATCTGTCTATGCGATGCTCTCGCCCTCAAGCCGGGCGCCTTCTGCACAGTCGACTCCCACTGCGACGGCCTCCCCTGCGACGGCACCACGAACCGCCGCGGCAAGTGCATCAAGCCTACCTCAGACGATACCGGCGGCGTCGGCCTCTCGGGCGGCTGCCAGTGTGACTACTACCAATCCGAAGGCGTCGGCTGCGCCTCGCACGACGACTGCTCCACGATCCGCTGCTTCGAAGACAAGCCCTACAAGTCCTGCACCATCCCCGACGGCCCCCTCGACAAGGAAGCCAACTTCTGCGCCTGTGCCGCAGAGAAGCCTCCCCGCCGTCTCACCGAGGGCGACAAGTGTACCGCGCACAAGGAGTGCGCCACGATCGGGTGCACAGAGTACGAGGTCTCCGTCTGCGAGAATGACACGTGCCGCTGCCGCTCCTTCATGTGCAGTGGCAGCCGTGACTGCGACTCGAGCGCGCTCGAGTGCGCTGGCAAGGGGAACCTGCTGTGCGGTGAGAAGGGTATGTGCGAGTGTAAGCCCTGCACTGAGAACTGGAAGGGCTTGACTTGTTTGGTGGATGCGGATTGCAACCACTGCTGCAAGCGCGGGACCTTGCCCAAGTGCAAGTTTACTCGTCTCGAGTTCTGGTCTGGTAATGAGTGTCAGTGTGATCTTTGGAATTAGATGGGGATCGTTTCTTGGAGGAGAGGAGGATGGCCTTTCTTTTTTCCGGTTTACGACCTATCTGAATACTGGGGAGTGCACCACACTGGAGGAAAATGAAGTCTTGGAATGATACCGAGATACCGCCCTTAAGGCAAAGATTGAGATAACGAATGAATGAGAAATTCCTCATCAACATGATGCTGTGTGTTGGTCGGTATGGGTGGTGAACACTTAGCTCCCCTCGTAGGCTGGTACCGAGTCTTTCTTCGACTAAGTGATTGACCTTGAACAAAATTAATCGCAATCCAATGACCTTGAAAAAGGTGTCTTCGAAGCTAAGGGTTTGGACTCGAAGGAGTGAGAGCCACTCAGCAACTTGACTACATGGCATCATCAAGATGGCTCTCATTTTGACCTCGAACCTTTCATCTGAGGATCGTCCAAGCTTGAGTTAACTCTCCAGTAAATGTGATATATAGTCAAGTCATATTCTTGAAGCAAGGCCTTGCAATAGCAATGGATCAATAGGCTCAGCAATGGGTACTGCGAAACCGCAAGTCGACAATGCGGATTGTGTAGCTCTTTGGAATTACATGAAGCTTTTAGAAATCTAATGTAGCTGTAGATTGCATTGATTTCTCTCCGGTTCTGTCAAGATGATGTTTGTATCGCTTTATACTTAGTACAAGAGAAAGAAACATTGCATTTGAAAGCAATATCTTGAGATTCAAATTATTTCCAACGCCTTGAATTAGGCCATCACTTTTACAACCCGTTAAAATCGTCTTCATTTTAGAACTCAACTCTATCCGTTCAAAACTCATTTCAATCGAACTAGGAACAAGAGATTGATACGCCCAGACTAAAATGCTTCTGTAATAATGCAAGTTCATAATTCGTGATGGTTCAATGTCTCTATTACTATGAAAAGTCGTGAGCCGGATTCGCCCCTTTGTGAGGGCAAGTTCCCTCATCTGCAATTCCCAAACGCCTTTCTTAGTGTTGTCATGACCCATGATTCATTCACAATAATCTCATCGCTAGCAATGTCTTGAATAAGGAACATCCGCCTCCACTGTCGACGGTTCTCAGGGCTTCACGCCAGAGCTCGCTGCACTCTCACCAACCTGCACCTCCTCATCAGGCACACCAACAGCAACACTGCTCGCGATGCTCATAGCCGTCAAAGACCGCTCCCTCTCACCTCCAGGACGTCTGTTGGAGCCGGCTATACCAGCACCTCCAGTAGTGACGCCAACGCTGGTGGCATCCGCCGCAGCCGCAACTGAAGCGTTTGCGCTGCTCGTACTCTCGCTCCGCTCCCTTCCAGCGGCGGCGGTCTTCTCCCTGACCATCTTCTCCAGATCTCGAATCCTCTGCTTCAGCACCTCGTTCTCCTGCTTGGCCTTCTCTAGTTCCTGTCGGTGCAATGCTGTCTCCTCGTACCGCGACGTCGTGGTCATTAGGCCGGGCGAAAGCTGCGCCTCGCTGCCGCCGGGCGTGGCGGCGACCGAGGTGTTACCGGTATGCTGCTGCGGCAGACGCTGCTGCTGGAAGTATGTCAGGCCACTGGTGCTGGTCGGGTCCAGATAGTGTTGCGACGGTGCCGGCGAGGACGATAAGCTGTGACGGGAGGCCACGCTATCTTGGCGACCCGGCTGTGGGGGCCGGGCGATGGGGATGGACATGGTGGATGCGGCGGCTGAGCCCGCTACGGCGGTTTGGCTTCGGGTGCTGGCGTTGGACGCGGTGCGGTGGTGTCGGCGGGAGCTGTTAGACGGGACGGCGGGGGTGGAGAAAGCGGCGCCGGAGAGGAGATGGGTGTCGGGTGCTTCGGTCGTGTTCGAGGCTGATGTCGAAGAGGCGTTGGATGCCACGGAGGCGTTCTGCGCTGTTCGAAGAAGTTGGAGCTCTCGTGTAAGGCGGTTCACCTATCACTCGTGGTTAGCCTTTGGTATTCCTGGAACGTGTAAGTCTGCCTGGCGTACCACTGCCTCTTGCTCTTTTTCCAACTGCATGTGAAGATCGGACGCGGTGATGGGTCGCGGGTGACGGATGGGGCCTGGGCCGGAGACAGAGGGCTCAGGGAAGGCTGGCGGCGATGCTGCTACTGCTGGAGCCATCGGTGGAGATCCTACGGGAGGGTTGGAGGGCGGATGGTTGACTGTGTTCTGGTTTGACGGAAGGATGTTGAGGGCCGAGGAGTCGGAAGATTGCGCTGGAAGTGGAGGAGGCGGCATCTGATGAGAAGAAGAGCGCCGCGAGGTGCTATGAGGATGTGGCGAGGCCGGAACAGAGTTGAGGTCGGGCATCGTGACTGAAGGTGAGGTTGGTGATGTTGGTGATGGGTGTTGCTGTAATTCGACCGCTGATGCGAAGCTGATGCGAGAATGAAGCTTCTGCCTGGGTCAGGAGTTGCGTGATAATAGCTGCGATATAGCTCAAACGCGTGATTGTTTGTTGCTTTGTTTGGTGGTCGCGGTCAACACGTCCTAGGTCGTCCAATCTCGCAACAGACTGTTTATTTGTCTGGGTTGCTTGGGTTTGGAGCTCCGTCATGCTTCATGCTCCCATTCATGCGTCGTTGCCCCACACACGGCCCCGCGATAAGGTGAGGTCCAGCCACAACCCCGCTTCTGCCACGGTGGTGAAAGTCACCAAGTCCAGCCACAATGTCTAGCTATCTTATCAATTCGCATCTACCTTATGTAATCTCACTCACTGAGGAACATTGGTTTATCCTCCGCCGTGGACGCGGGTCCCATCGGCTGCCGTTGTCCCGTCCCAGTGACGCACGTTCCGCCCGTCTCTCCCTCTCCCTGTCACACTCAACTCTCACAACCGCCCCCGATCTACCACCATTGCGATCCGACGTTGTATTTCCGTGCGTGGTGCAAACTCTATGCGGCCCGGGTGTTACAGTTGAAATCCCATCTACCGCGAATAGCCTTACCGACGACAACATGCGTTTCCGGAATGCACATGTTCGACTTCTGCGCGAATACAACCTCGCCGCCAACATCACATCAGCTCGAGACGGCCAGCGACACATGCCTTCGACGACAACGATCAAGATGGAGGGCAAAACATAGCATGGCAACCCTCAACGCCGCCTAGTTCGAATTTGAGAGTTCTGGTTACAAGCTCTACTACGACCAGCAATAGCACCACCACAACACCACCACACCAGAAGACAAACGTTCAAGCGCCACACTCAGCCATCTTTCTGCCTGCCGGCCTGAACTCTCTGGTGGAGAAGTCTTCTGTTATCCTGGATCCGACTGCAATAATGGCATTACCCTTACACTTATTGTGGACGAAACACGGAGACAAGGTTGATAACGGAGTGTTTTCCACCGTTTTCTCGCAGATCACCCACCGTTTTGCCAAATGTGGCTGCCTTCCTAGCGTCGGCGCCACACTCTTCCCCGCAGCTGCCCCGCTCCTGACGTTGTATGGGCCAAGCGCCCCTTGCGACTCCGTTCTCACCCCCTGACGACGGCACAGACGGCAGGATGGTTGGACGACCATGCAAAGAGATGCTATTCACCTTCGGCGCTTTTCCTCCGGACGTCTCGGGTATGCCACGCGTCCCCTGTCAACAGAGCTTCCCCCTCCCAAGCGCAATCTCTCCCCCGTCACTCATTGTCCAGTTCGAGCGGGCAGTTTGGTCATAGCTCCAGCGATGATCTCACCTCTGGGCAGCTTCTTTCGCTTCAGTCGGAAAGGAGGTCGGTTAACGACAGCGTTTGTGCAACGGCGGACACACAACGCTAATCAAAGTCGCTCAACGCTTGCGACTTTGACCGGTCACACAATCCCATTATTCTGGCACGGTTGTCTTACCAGACGTCGTCCGAACAGACTCTACCAACCGTTCTTGCCTTTTGGAACTGCACCCACCCGACGACCACTCTTCCCGCCAAGCTTGGCTTCCCGCCATAACGTGCCCAAATATGATCGATCCCGCGGGTACGACGCGGCGGCGGCGAAAAGCGGTACGGGACACGACTCAAAAATATGGAGCAGAATCTCTGCCATCGGTCTAGATCATTGCGGGTCATCCGTTGAGTACATGAGTACCGCCCTTCTGGCCCAGCCGTGGTGCCTCTTCCGTTCCCCTGGGGAGCATGGGAGGGGGTGGCCTGCGATCGCCCGCTGTCAACATCGTGAGGAACTCGCAAAAAACAGGTTTTATCCCCTGCACCTGCTTCTGCCCGGTGGACACCTGATGAGGCTGAAATGTTTCATCATTGGACCTCGACCGCATTGGCACTTCACTCTTACTGCATTGTGATGCTGCACTCGGCCAACCTCGCGGATCGGGTAACGTGAATGGGCTTTGGGCAGGCGCGGTTTGCCATCCTCGTGATGTCGATGATGCGGGAGCGCACGCATCGGGTACGAGCACCGCATATTGACCGGGACCACACCAGCCACACCTTGAAGATATTCACCAGTAACTGACCCTCTCACCGCGGCCGACGGGTGCGAATCCTCGCATATTCGTCCACGGGCATGATACGAGACTCGCCAGAATGCAGGTCGCCGTATCGGCCCACGGCCCCTGCTAGTCAAGATAATCTTCACCGTTCACGATACTCAGAGTAATAGCTCACTTCACTGTTTGAAACTTGACGTAGTCGTGAACCAGAACCTAACGGACGGTACAAACTCTCAGGTCATCCGCTGGATTCCGCAATAGAAGTTCCAGCAATCTACACTGTTCGGAAAGTTGGACTAGCTCATCGAATGTGTAGAATAGAAGACGACGAACACCTGTCAAAGTGGGTTCATGAAAATCTCATTTCGGCGGCTAAAATTACACTGGGGACCAGATCGTATCCGCCGCTAAGTCTGACAAGCTCGATTCGCTGTGGGACGTATTGGCACACCGACAAACTTCCCCATCCGAAAATAACACCGTCTTCTAAACGGAGACTAGCAAGCAAACACGCACGAAGCGGTCTCGCGTTCTGTAAGAATGAACAAAGAAAACTCGTTAACAAAAAAATCCTATACCCGCTTACGCCTCTTCCTCTCTGCAGAAAGCTTTTCGCCTTTATGCCGTTAAAATTTGTGGTATGTTGAAACATTTCGATCGTAATGACTGATTTCGATGCTGGACACTCCCGCTTCTGCTGTCGAAGAGCAGGGGGAGTGCTTGTCGTGGTAGACGCGATTACCCATCTCTACATCATGTCGCTATGCAGTTAGCCTTGTGGACAAGGAATTCGAATCTTTTTCGAACGCAAAGATGACGTAAAGAGAATGCCCAGAGCGTTGAGCGGCCCTTGTTGGTTTCGGGTCTGTGGTGGTTGTCGACGTGCTTTTTTACATTGATCTAGGGAGAAACCGTCGCGGTCAGTCTCTCCTAAACCGCTTTCGCTCGGGTCTGATGGCCGAGGGGTACACGGATGCCGCATCGGAAAAAACGGTCGACGGACTGCGCACGAACTTTCGTGCTACTGCCTCGCCTGCCGAGATGCACCACCCACCGACCTCGGCCCAGAAGAATTGTGGAGGTGTTTGTGTGTAGGATAGGGAACAACCGTTTCCTATCCTCTCCCACAGTTTGCCAGCTCTCGTCAAAAAGACAAAGGAAAAACAACGGAGACTGGACTTGAGAAGTAGCTGACTCGCCGCTGCGAACACTGCCCCCCAGCGAGGCCCGATAATCGGTCCCCACACGGAACACGGTGATGGCATTACATGACAGAGTTCGACAGCAGGTAGAAGCGCAGTGGGCAGCAAATGCAGAAAATCTGAATCGCGGACACCACTGCAGATTCGGGGTAACAAAGCATTGACCAACAAGAGGAGAGGGAAAAAGATCCGGAGAAAAGACATAATCAATCGTGAACAGAGAGGAAAAGAGGGAATACTCACAGCAATGCCAGCGTCAAATCACCGTGGATCTTCGCCTTGAGCGTAATCTCAATATCCAAGTTCAGGTCAAGCCTCAGCTTGAGCGGGTTCTTGCCCGCGCCGCCGCCGCCGCCCTGCATCTGCTGCTGCTGCTGTTGCTGCATCATCATCTGCTGTTGTTGCTGCTGCTGCATCTGCTGCTGGCGCTGGCGCTGCATCATCTGCTGGTTCTGGTTGCCGCCCTTTTGCGCAGTCGTGTAGTTGCCGCCGTCGTCCTCTTCCTCCTCCTCTTGAGAGTCGTAGTCCTCGTCGTCGTCGTACTCGCCCTCGTCTTGCGAGTCGCCAGAGTAGTACTCGTCGTCGTCGTAGACCTCGCCGTCCTCGCCTTCTTCAAACTCCTCGTCGTCGTCGTAGTACTCGCCCTCACCTTCCTCGCCGTCTTGGAGTTCAGTGGGCTCCTCGAGGTCAGCTTCTCGTTCTGTGCGGCCAGAGTCGCGGGAGCGTACCTTTGCGGGCTCTGCTTGCTCCTGCTCCTTGCCTCCTGCGGCGGGCTTCTTGTCGTTGTCGACAACGGACTCTGGCTCCGCTTCGTCTTCGACGCCGGCCTGGTTTGATGAGGCCTGCTTCTTGTCCGTGGTCTCTTGGCCAACGGGCTTTTGCTCTTCCGTCTCGGGCTTCTTGTCTTTTGACTGGGTGTCGGCGCCGGCGGCAGCATCTTCGGGCTTCACGTCGTCGCCGGGCTTCTTCTCATCTTCTTGTTGTGTCTTGTCGTCCGTCTTGGCGGCCGCGTCTTCGGGCTTGCTGTCTTCGGCCTTCTTCTCATCGGTGGTGGGGGCACCCTCGCCTTCTGCGGGGTTACCGAACTCCCCGACCGGTGTGGTGCCTTCGGGCTTCTGCTCTTCCGTCTTTTGGTCTAGGGAGGACTGCTGCTGCTCCTCGGGCTTGGTCTCCTCAGGCTTGCTGCTGTTGCCCGGCTGGTTCTGGTTGCCTTGGCCTTGGCCCTTCTAGAGGAACTCACCATTAATACCGTGACTTACAGTGGGAGTGTGTCGTAGTGGATGAGCGGCTTACCTTGTTCTTGTTTCTGGCCATTGTGTCCGAGTCCATTAATCTGACGGGGGTGGTTTATTGGTATGTGGAAATGAGAACCTCTCAATTGCCCTTTCAGTGAGATTTCTCGAGTGAAGCTATTCAAATGGGGTATGAGTTGAGTTTGGTGGTCGCGGTGTAGTAGGCGTTTAGCTCAATGTGTTTAGATATCTCCCCCCTTCCAAAAAAGTGAAAAGAGATTAGAGTGAGTTTGTTCAATGAATATGGGAATCTTTTACAAAATTGGAAAGAAAAAAAGGTCATCTAGAAGGGTTGGGGGAAAGCTAGGTACACAGGTTGGTATAAGTTAAATCGGATGCCATGAGAATTAACAGCATCATTACCTCACACCCCTCCCCCCTCAATGCCATCAAACAGGAATTTCTGCACAGGGACACAGGGACACTGGACAGCGAGGCTGAACCGCAATCCGGATCTTCGTCTCTTGTGACGCAATAGGGTGTGAATGTGGGAACCACGGGCTTACACACACCTACGCACTACCTACTCCATACACGGGGATGGGGGAAAGGGGGACCCGGTGAACAGGCAGCGTTGGCACAAAAGAAGGGGACCCAGCAAAAAGTTGGTCAAAGAAAAAAAAGTGGCATGGGCGGGCGGGAATGAGACTCGAGAGAGGCAACGGGTTACAATCGAATGAGGTCTGGACCTTCGTGAGACCCAGAATGGCCTCTGACTTCCGAGGGGAGAATGTCACTGTTGGCAGACAATACTGGGGAAACGGTACAAGGGGAGGGACGTGTACCTCCTGACAAACACGTGTATAGACTTGGACCCGCCGCTGTGATATCACATTCGATACAGGTTTTGGATGAGAATCAAGATTTTTGTTCTCCTGCTTAGGGGGAGTAGCGGCTGTCCGAACTCCCTCACCTGTGGTAAAGCTCACCGTATGCTGGCACCTGGTACGGGAAGAGCAGCGAGCAGGCAGGTAGGCGACTTAAACTGCAGCCAGCCCGTCCTTCCCGATCGACAGGGTCCCTAGACACAAGAAGAGAGGGGGCGTGTAAGAGGGCCTTTGGCATAAGGCGATAAAGCAGTCTAGCAATAATGGCAGACAAGCACCAACTATGCGAGAGGACCAACAAAAGAGAATGAGGATTGAGAGAGTGACGTCGACGGGCTGGGACCCGAAATGCGTGCTTGAGCCGTGGTTGGTCGAAACTCAGCACTCTGCTGCGTTGCGAGCAAAGAGCTTCGGGAGCTACCCCGGTCGATCATGTTGGAAAAGTCTATGAACCTAGCGTGAGTGAAGGATGGGGAGGGATCTGGAGTCAAAGCAGACTAAGCCCGAGTGTAATTCTCTCGAGAGAATGACGTCGATGGGGTGTGAATGTATTGCACTTTAAAGAGGATTCGTAAAATGTATCAAAGTATCGAACCGCAAAAAAAGAAATGGAGTATGCAGAGAACAGCGAACGGTCTAGACATGCATATTGTGGACCACACCAAACACCAAACGTGAGCATTGGGTGTGGGCTGACCCCAGACAGGGGTACCCGAAACGGGCATCTCGATCCAGAATGACTTCCACTTCTCTTCTCGTCCAGGCGCCGGGTGCATGTGGCCCGCAGACTTTTGTGAAGAAGAGTGAGAGAGAGCCTGAGAGAGGAGAAGGAGAGGGATATTCGATGCCTGGACCGTACCGTGCCGTGACCGCTAGACCAGCCAGCCCAGACCTGCCACGCCTGCCAGCCACTCCTCGCCGCGGGGAGGAGAAGAGACGCGAGGCACAGGGCGTGCGTGAGCCTTTCGATATGATGACCACACGAACCCCATAGAACATACCCCGTAAACCTGTTTCTTCTGAGAATCCATCAAAGAAGGTCCCTCGGAAGCCCTCTGAGACAGTGACATTCCGGTATCGATCTTCAGGACTCCAGCAGCAAAGAGAGTAACTCGGCCCCGAACCACGTCCCAACGATCATTGCAAATCCGTTGATCCATACACACGCTCGCACCGGTTTGACTCCACGGCTTGGGCCAACTTGACGTTTCCGAGTCCCGACGCGACACGAAGCAGACCTCGAGTTGTGAACAGGCAACGGCGAGGCTCCAAAGAACTTTGACTCCCTCGACTTCAACTCACTTGAGCTCGTCCCTGTGCCCACTCTCACTCGAAAAGGCCAACGTCTCCCACCGCCCACAGTCACTCGCCCGGATTTTCGTCCCTTGATTCCCACTTTACCCTTCCTGTATTATTAGTCGCCCGCCTCGGAAAACAAGTTCGAAACATGGTTATCGGTCTGCTCGCCATCGCCGCCATACCCACAGTCATCGGCACTGGTCAGGCCGTAAGCGCTCAGAAGAAGCAGAATGCCGCTGCCAAAGAACAGGCCAAGTTCAGCCTTACGGCGACAATGACCATTAACGGCAAGCAAGAAGAGTGTCCATGTATTGTTGTTGACAACAAGGTGAGCAAAGCCCACAAACCAACAGCCAACAGCCCACATCCAACGCCCTTCAAACTCCCTCCCACTTCCCTCTCGATCGCCCATCGACCCCCGTTCCCGCGTCTGCAGACATCTGCATGCTCTTTCTCTATTTCCTTGCTTTTCTCTTTTCCCCGTTACCCTTTGCGAGGGTTGGCACACCCACTCGGCCAACCTCGCCGCGTGTTTTGACTTACACTAGCTCCCTCGCCAACTTGGAAACCTTGCGACGCATCTCAATTGGACTAACACGCACATTCTCCCCCGCAGATATGGATAAGTCATAGTCTGGCACCGGCTCCAGGGCACAAGTTTTCAGGGTATTACTTCAACTACCCCAGCGAACCACCAATGCGCGCCTTGGTATCAACGATAGCGGAAGACCCGCCCATGTTGAACTGGATTTACGTCGACGCCGACAGCAGAGCACTCCGCCACGGGGGCCGCAAAGATACCCTAGGCCATGTTATAGGACCTTGGGGCTGGACTGACGATGAGAGGTATCTCTCACTCAGAGGAAGCGGGCTCGGCTTCGTAGCCGTACTGGAGGAGGACGGCAGGTGGGCTGCATATTGGGATCCGGATGGGCGGTTGCGGGAGGGCTATGATCCCGAGGACTGTATAGAGATAGCTCTCAGGCGGCAGATGGCGCTAGGCATTGAAAGCGCCTACGTGAAAGGATAGGCGAGCCAGATCATCGAGAAGGATAAACTCAGTGTGTGTCAAATTTTGGAATAATCCGGGGGGAATCCAGGAGTCTCGGAGCTTTGAGGGGAACGGGCAAATAGAACAGGTCTCTAGGCGTTCTGCAGCTTGCAAGGATAGGAATAGTTGGCATCTGTAACCCGTGAGCCCGTACATCGTCAGTGCATAGCCTTCAGCAAGCTTGCAAGCTCAAACCAACTTACAAGAAGCTTGTTTAGTTGCAGGAATAGAGTAATGCTGCGTCATGCCTGCATTGGCGGCACCAGTGATCGCAAGTCCGTGGTGCGAGTCTGATAATGCATGATTGGGTGCAAGCCAGCGAAAGGTGCGCGTTGAATCCGAAAAGGAACAGGGATGGCAGACACCATCTCGACCTCTTTGGTGTTTTTTGGGAGCGCCGGGATGTGTTGGGCTGGGTTGGCCGCGCTTCCTCCTCGACGGCATAGGCAGATCGGGGACGCATCGAGCATGAGACAAGACCAATGCCCCAGCGGCCCCAGTGAATCCGCCCCCCCTCCCCTCCGCACGCATGCCGCTTGGCCCTCTTCAACGTCATTTCGGTCCAGAACATCGAGAGAGTCGAGTGGTGTGACGCAAATCTAGAAGGGGTGAGAGCAGTGAGAGATGGGAATCCTGGATGCCCCAGGGTCCAACATGATCTCATCAGCTGGAAAGGGTGTAAGCTTTTACATCCTGTTTTGACCCCTTCCGGATACTGTCCGGAATCACTTATATGTTGCGTCCTCATCCAGAGTCGATAAACAGAATCAGACTTTGAAGAGACACTCCAAACTTACCGGTAGACAAAAAGCCCTTAATATCAGTTCTCCCTTCCTTCACACCAAGGAAAGTCCATTCGCCCGTCTTTGAACCATCAACTTCATCAAACTCATCAGTCACAATGGCCTCCCCCCGCGAGAAGAACAACACTAAGTACGCCTCCGAAGACGAGACCTCGGAAGCACCCAGCGAGCAGCAGAAGCCTCAGCGCCGTCAGCGCCCGCAACGCAGGCAGATGCAGAGACGCCAGCAGCAGTCAAGTGGCCCTCTCGACAACCTCGGTGGCATTGGTGATGTTGGCGGCGTGACCAACGGCGTGCAGAACACACTAGGCAACGTTGCTGGTGGTGCGTTGCAACAGCAAGGCGGCGGTGGTGGTGACAAGAGCGACACCCTTCGGTTGCGTCTTGATCTCAACCTCGACATTGAGATCACGCTGAAGGCACGCATTCACGGTGACCTCGAGCTGGCTCTCTTGTAAGTACCACTCATTTCTCTATCTTCCCCCTTACCCTCCACAGTTACGGCCCTCCCTCTTGTCTGCGCTAGGTAGAGCTCCGATTCGTCCTCGCTTCTTATTCGCAGGCAAGCACGGGCTAGTTAGTAGCTTGTAGCCAAGTTCAAGATGGGCTAATGGGCTTTACCTCGTCTTTTAATCAGGAACTGAGAGACGTTTTCCACAGGGACCAATCTTAAAACGACATTCTTATCGTCGAATTTCTTTACAACACGGAGTCGCGGGTCTGAACAGTGGGCGAAATGCTTTTCGACCCAGTTTGATGGAATGTGTGGGTTTGTTTTTTTGTCGCCCGCTTTTACAGCCCAACCGTAAAAAGAAACGGTTGGGCCAGCAAGGGTTCGAGGAGTTGGTGGACGGATGGGATATCGGGATCCATCTGCCGCGTGTATTATGAAGGATTTGTGCATCATCGACATCATGAGATACGGACGCTATTTCGGGAAGTTTTGTGGGTATCCTATTCGACGTTAGCCAAAGCATTCTAAACAGTTTCTTTTAACGAATGATACTTGACCAAGACCAATTAAATGATGAGATGCTGCAGCCATCGGTGACAAGTTCCCACACACGCGCCCTCACCTTCCCTCAACTTACCTCACTCATATCTAAGTATGCTGACACTCCCCTCATCCTCAATGGACATATCCTACAGGGCTTGAGAACGCCAATGATCCCAAGCCTCGATAGAACTGCGAATCAACTCTGTTGACAGACTTAGCGCGTGTCGTTGGTTTCAGCACACCATCAATGCCCTCAGCCACCCGCTAAGTGCCAAGCTCGTGTGGAGTAGCGTCGAAAAAACAGGCAGAGCCATGTGTTGTGACATCCGCCGTCAAGCATGCCAAGGGGCGAAGACGGTGGCCAGCAACCGTTCGTAGCGCCAATTTCCACTAGCCTCCGTCTGTTTCACGCTTCACGTCTGGCGCCGTTGATCTCGGTGACGGGGCAAATCTCCAATGCGACGGTGGGGTGCTCTCCACCCACCCAACCAGCAAAGTCAACAGTGTGGTTGCCCATTCCTTCCAGAGGCTAGTGTCATCGGGAGCGAATTACGAAGGCGTGGGAGTGTCGGCTGGAGGACCTGGAAGAAGTGGCTGGATACGCAGCTGGAAAGCGACGGCGCCAGAGACTACTGCAGACAATACTCGTTGTGCCTTGCTTTCCATGCGTCGTTTCTCCTGGGCTTAACTAGCGTTAGTTTATTCTGCCCAGAGACAACGCATTCAAAATTTCAATGTCCTGACGGGATCATGCTGGGATCCTGACTTCATTTCGCGTCGTCAAAAGTGCTCACCGAGACATGGAGTGAGAGAAGGAAAAAGGAAAAAAGAACCTTAGAGTTTGGCCGGCCGATGTCAATGGTCAAGCCACAGAGCGGCTTCGGCCCTCCCTGTCCGTCCAATATTGCCGCAGCGAAGCAGCCACATGATGCGATGTAACTCAGACCCAGGATTGAGTTGGTGTGTGAGTGAGTCGTCTTTTTTGGTCGCCCGCCGCCAAATGTAACGGTGGAACGGCCCCCCCTTGCTCCCCTCTCAAAGTCTCCCCACCTCATATCCGTAAGAAGGCCCGGTAAACGGTATCCATAGTACCGTCTCGACTCTGTGTGGCGGAGACACTCGCAATCGTACGGAGACGGTCGGAAAACGCTAGACCTGCAGGGTAACCGTGGCTGAACGGGAAATTTTTGCGTCGCATCCCGGCGCATCGGGTGGGAGCATCAGCCACTCACGTTCAACGTCGTCCTGGTCGCTGTGAAAATGTCAGTCAAGCGATCTTCACCAGTCTCAATCGTCAAGCCACCTGCCGACAAACGTATCGCGCCGATCGTACTGCCTCCGTCTCATTTCCAACGGTCTGGACTCTCGTCGGCTTTCTTCTTCTTCGCCTCTTTGCATCTCATTGCCTCTTCAGGCTACCATCGAGATCATCCTTCGCCAGCCTGTGTCGGTTGTGGCGTTGATGGCACGCGGCCTTCGTCCATTGACAAACTCGAGACGTCTCTGAAGGTCTGCTGAAGCTGTTCGGGCATGAGGACCAACCCGAGCTTCTGATGAAGCTGATTCCTCCCATCAAGTGCCCTTTGAACAATCATGAGCCACATCTGAACTCTGAGTGTTTCGGCTGGGTCAATGTCAAGAGCCTTTTCCAGAGTCTGTGGTCGGTGTGTGGTCGGTAAGCTCGAAGCTTCCTATGGGTCAACTGAGTACCCCCGGACTGCCCATCAACCCAGCTGAGATAGCGTCGACGCACGTGTATGAATGTCCAGGCTCATGCTCACTCACCGTGCTCTCCAGCAACAGTTGACGGCTAGCCGTGCGTTCCGTCCGTACAGTAGCTCAGGCGCCAGCCTAACCATTCAGCACCACGGCCGTTCGCACAGTCGTTCGTGTTTCGAAGGAAAACAGGCTTTTCCAGACCTTGTTGGACCTTTTGCTTCCAATCTCAGTGCTCTTCCGGCGCCATCTTCGGAGTCTTGCCTCGTTCCCAATCTGCCATCTTCACCACCCGCCAACGATCCCTTCCTCTCGTGCTTCTTTGCATGCCGTTTCCGAAGTACCCGGTGGAGACATTTGCGTGTATCTGGAGACACTGTGGAGTCAACAGATCTCGGTTCGACAAGTCCTTGAACAGTCCCATCCTTGCACAGCAAGCCTGGCAAGGAGTCAACGTGAACCGTCGCCCCGTTCGCCAGTTCTGGAACCCCAAGGTTGCCCCAGTTGCCAGTCTCGGCAGACACAAGACAGAATCCACTCTCGATCTCATCGTCGACCTGACGTCACAACGACTCAGCCAACCCCCTTCTGCCTTGCAGGCCTTGCAGAACCGCTGCCCGCGCCCCGCGAGCAATCAGAAAACCTCTGCCCGCGTGTATCGACCAAGGGGTGCACCGAGAGAAACGCACTCACGCGCACTCGACAGCAACACCGAACACCGTCCCTCCTCACACCTCACTTTCTCTCTCAACCGCCGCCCAGACTCTCTGAAGCAAGCAAGCAAGCAAGCAGGTCGGTCGATCGATCCTCAGGTGGGTTGCCGGCTCTCCATTCCTTTACAGCTGGCGGTCCTGGCCTCGCTTCCCTTCCCTCCCCTTTCCCCTCTCTTTGAAAGCAAGGCCTAGCTGACGCGGAACATCCTTCGTCTCCCACAGAATCATCCAATGATGACGGCGTCCGCTCCTGCTCAGCAGACTCCACTCCAAACTCTCCGCGACGAACCCGACAGCCCTGCCTCGAAGCCGCCTGCACAGCAATCTATGCAAAGTCCCATACCTGCGCGCCCGGAATCCTCGTCGCACACTATGCACCATACCGAGCCACGACCTGCGGCTGGAGCCAGCGATCATGATCATACTTCCCGGCACGATGAGTATGAGGTTGTCGAGGTCGAAGATGGACAGGCTGGGGTGGAAGAGGCGCCCAAAGCCACCTTCTCACGCCCGCCTCTGCCTCGTCTGAACTCCCAGTCGCGGGCAGCTTCCTCGCCGGCGCCATTCCATGAAACCAATCCTCCGGAGTATCCTCATCGACAGGTTAGCTACACGAGCACCCCACAACCAGAGCAAGGCGGGCCTGTCCACCTGCAGGGCTCGCGGGAGATACCTATCCCAATGAGGCCATCGTCTACACAATACCAAACGGGTCCCGAGGCATCAACACCGCCGACAACCGAGACCACAGACAATGGCATAGACGAGGGCTCGCAAGATGCCAAATCATCGTCGCAAGGCAACACCCCGAAGCCACAAGAAAAGAATGCCCCGATCGCGATCCCAAAGGTCACACCTCTGTCTTCAGACCTTAGGTTGCCCCCAAACCTTGCTGAGCTAGCGCAAGGTCTGGATGGCAAGTACGTTGATGAGTTTGGAAACATTTTGGACTGGAATGGTCAAGTGCTTGGACGTGTGGAAGGTGACCTGCCGTCCATGATCGGACGACCAGTCTCAGTAACGGGCGAGATCTTCAGCGAAGACGGCGAGGTGGTCGGTTACGTAGCGGAGAACGATACCATTCCACCAACGCCTCCGTCTCCTAAGCCCATTGAAGGCATGGGAGACGGACTGAAGGTGGACCACTTGGGGAACATCCTCGACAAGCATAACAATGTCGTCGGTCATTTCGACGGCGCTCCTCTGGCAAAGTCTGTTCAGCAGACAGGCCAGCCGAGTAGCTCAAACCAGTCCAGTAATCCTCGACCCGGTTACATGCCCGACACGCATACTAGCTGCCCTCAATGTACTGCTCATCGACAGTCTAAGCCATCAGCTGATACTCCCAGCCCGTCCGAGATATTCATGGACGTCAAGTCAACCAATGATGGTATTCAGCTCATCATCAAGATCCCAACTGTATTTCACGGTGGTGGGAATCCCAATATCCATATAGGAACCAGATGAGCCATGTAATGGGATTTACGTATTTTGGATGGGTTGTTGATCTTCAGGAGTTCTGGAACCAGCGGTAGATACTAGCATGCGGCGGCGTTCAGACGGTAGTGAGATGGACATAGGCCAGGGTTTGAATCGTAGTTGCCATCCAGACAGAACTTGGCAACGAACCGTTTGCACAAACTTGTGGCTTCGAGACCCATTACCTGGCCCGTTGTGTGAGGCTGAAAAGGAGAACAAGGGCGAGACTTTCGGATGCTTGCGGGCGCATAGACGCGGATGGTGATTTGGGAACTTGCAGAGCGTGACGAATAGTAGTTGATTTTTCGTGTTTCGAACAGCGTCATGACGTCCGCTGTGCATGCGAGTCCAGCCTTCATGAACTTCGCAATCCGCATTTTGGAAAAGAAAGTTGTTGGAAGTGACCGGGGGGACTGAGTGTGGAGGAACTGACGAATGAATGATGCAGGGCAGGGAGACCCCCGGGAAGCACTAGCCACACCAACTGAGCGTCTCCAAGAAAGGTGGCCGTCGATCGATCAGGAAACCAATGGTAATTCCCCAGACTGGCTGACTGTCACACCATACCCCAAGGTGCATCTCCCCTTCTCAAGTAAGGTTGCGTCATGATAGCTGGGATCCAGCCGTCCAAGGGCTCGGACGAGGTGTGGCTTTGCGTCATGATGGGCGACTGGCAAGCTGGCCATCCCTCCCCCCATGAAGTCACCCTGTGGCGCGAGCAAGGGCCAGAGCTTCGATGGACGAGGGAAGCTCCTCGAGCTTGAGCTCCCCTTGACGTAAGATTGGGAGCCGACGTTCAGCTGGAAACTTGATTTGCGTTGAAGGATTTGAGGTATAAGACGTCTGACCGGCAGGTCTTTGTATCGGAATTTGACTTTCATCTCCCAATTCAATGCAATCATCTCATGAACAGCTACATTTTCTAAGATACCCTGTTAGCGCTGAGTACAACGAATTTTTATCAAGACACGAACAAGAGCAACAAGAAAGAAACAACAAGACAAACAATATGGTCGGAGCTGCATCCAAGTCAGGCAGCAGCATGCCCGGTGGTTGGGGAAAGGGTGAGGAGCAGAAGTCAAGTGAGTTCACTTACACACGACTCATGATGAGTCGAACACTGACCTTTCGTAGCATACTCGGTCGAGCAAGATATCCAAGACCATGGCGACAACCTTGTTGCCGGTGTCATTGGCAAGACCGGTGAGGTGGTAGACGAGACCGGCAAGACTGTCGGCAAGGTTACAGAAGGCGAGGCCGGAGAGCTTGTCGGCAACGTCGTCACCGCGACAGGCGATATCATCGGCAAGGACGGCGGCGTTATTGGCAAGGCTCTTCCCCTCGGCGAGTTGACGGAAGGTGGCGAGACCAAGGAGGGCGGTGGCTTCAGCATCATGGGCGCCACCAAGGGCGTCAAGGGCATCGTCGACACTGTCGACGGCACTGTTCAGACTGTCAACCGCACATTACCACTTGTCGGCGACCTGACCAAGGGTATTGGTCTGGGCGAAGGCCAGGGCGGTGTGCTCGGCGGCGTCCTTGGTGGTGGTCAAGATGAGAAGGGTTCCCAAGGTGGCCTTGTCGGTAATACCCTGGGCAACGTTACCGGAGCTCTCGGCGGTCAGTCCGAGAAGGGCACATCTTCAGACAACGCCCTCGGCGGCCTGCTTGGAGGTGTTTTGGGCCAGAGCCAAAGTGGAGGCCCTCTTGGCGGCGTCCTCGGTGGCACCGAGCCATTGAACCGCGACCAGTCTGTCACCGACAAGGATGAGAAGCTCACCCAGCTTCTTGCTGAGCAGAAGGAGGAGGCAGATGACAAGGCCTCCTTGACCGAGAACGCGAAGCAGAACCTCTTCGAGAACAACGAGACAACATCAGAGGTTGCCCCAATCGATCTCCAGGATGTCGAAAAGTCGCAACCCGACGTTGACGCTGATGGTAAGCTCACAACCGGCGGAGAGAACACCCAAACAGAGACTGAAGATTCCCAAGGCGCCAAGACAGACCTCACAGAACAGTCGACAATCGACGGCAAGAGTGATTTGCAAGAGGTCGACGCCGAGCCCATCGAAGAGGCGACAGAGGGTGCCGAGACCGTCAAGGACGACTCGACTGAGAAGGCTGGCACTGCCCAGACTGATGCTCAGTCCCGTGTTCCGGATGACATCGCTACCCTCGACATTCCCGTCTCGCAGATTCCCGACGGTCTGAAGAGTGAGCTTCCGGAAGATATCCAGACTGCCGACATCCCCGTATCGCAGATTCCATTCGACGCTCAGTCCAAGCTTCCCACCGATCTTGTTTCCAAGCTTCCTTCGGATCTAGCCTCTCAGGTTGAGGACGCCAAGTCCGGTGCCGAGACTGCTCGTGAATCCGATGCCACTGAGGACTGGGCGAACCAGCAGAACCCCGAGGAGCAATCCGAGGTTCCCGAGGATGCTCAGACTGGCGAGTTCCCCAAGACCGAGGGCGTCACTGAGGGTGTTGAGGGCGAGGGCTTTGAGGCCATCGACGAGGGTGTGGACTCCGGTGTGGAGGGTATCGAAGATGTCGCCGAGACCGCTACTGCGAAGACTGGCGATGTCCCTGACATTGACGTCACCGCTGCTTCTGAGTCTGCTCCCAAGTCTACCATTAAGGATGATATCAAGAGCGTCCTCAGCACCATCCGCTCTGCCATTCCCGAAGACCAGCGCACCGTCTCTGTTGCCGGCGACAAGCTTCTCCAGCCATTCGAGAAGTTCCCTGGCGCCCAGGTTGACGAGGAGGGAAGGGTTGTTTTCGACGATGTTTCCATCGGTCGCATCGCCGAGGGTAACCCGGAGGAACTTGTTGGCATGACCCTCGATGCCGAGGGCAACATTGTCAACGAGCGCGGCAGCATCATTGGCAAGGCCGAGCTCAAGTCTGAGGTTGCTGAGGAGCTTCTCAAGGACACCATTGACTTCTCCATCCTAAAGGGTGCCAAGGTCAATAAGGCTGGCAACCTTGTCAACGACAAGGGTGAGGCCGTCGGTCGCATTGTCTCCGGTATCCTCAAGCACTTAGTTGGTCGCAAGGCCAACGAGCTCGGTGAGATCTGGAACGACAGCGGCAAGGTTATTGGCAAGGCCGAGCCCATTCCCGAGACTGAGCGTGAGGAGCTTAGCGAGCCTGCTCCCTTCGAGGACTTCCCTGGCGCAACCGTCGAGTCCAATGGGCACGTTCTCTTTGAGGGCGATATTGTCGGTCGTGTCATTGAGGGTGACCCGAAGAAGCTCAAGGGCAAGAAGGTTGACGACGACGGTGACATTCTTGACAAGAGCGGCAATGCCATTGGCAAGGCCGAGCGTTGGGAACCCGAGTCTGAGCCCGAGCCTGAACCGGAGGCACCTGTTGACAACTCTGCCCTCGCTGGCAAGCGTGTCAACAAGGCTGGCAATGTCGTCGACAAGGACGGCACCATCTATGGCCGCATTGTCGAGGGTGACATCAAGCGCCTGATCGGTCGCATGTGCGACAAGGAAGGAAACGTCCGCAGCGAGTCCGGTGACATCATCGGAAGAGCTGAGCTTGTTGCTGAGGGTGACCGTGAGGGATCCAAGGAGGGTCCCTTCGCTGAGCTCCCTGGCTGCACCGTCGCCAAGGACGGCACCATTGTCACTCCCTCTGGAGATATTGTCGGTCGTCTTGTCCAGGGTGACGCCAAGGTTCTCTTCGGCCGCCCCATCGAC